CGGGGTCGAAAAAAAGAGCAGCCCGAAAGGGAGGAAGGGAGGGAGGGAGGCAGGGAGGAAGAGGGACGGGAGCAAACATGAGATTGCCTGTGCTCCAATCATTTTGTAAAACCGAAGTCCAGGAAGACCGATCGGCGACACAAAAGTTCTGTTCGGATGTAAATCAAGCTTGACGCCGCCTTTCAAGAAAATGTTTTTCCTGGTGGCGATGGCCGCATTGCTGCAGTCTCCTTGTTGAAGATTTCGAAGCTTCATCACGTCGCAGCTGCATTGTGGATTTCGTTTTAAGCTTACATGAATTCAAAGCGGCAAAACGACATGTCTGGATGTTGTTTGCTTCAGCAAATGCCCCATATGAACTCATATCGTCACATCGATGCTATGAAAATACGCAGCTGCAAATAAGGCCAGTCGTGTGGACAGAGGCATCGAATTGAAACCGTCGGGCTTGAAGCCGCTGTTTTAAAGTCAGCATGAATTATGCCATGGGCGGCAAGCCGCCGCCAGCTGCTGCAGAGGCGGCGGCCGCTGATGCCAAAACCGAGGTGTGGCTTTGGGGCGCGGACAACATGCATTGGCGGTCTGCGATTGTCAGTGTAGCAGGGTGATAGAAGCCACCAGAGCACAAATTAGTTTTGGATTAAGCCGACAACTTGACCATTTCTGTCGCAGGTCCACGCTCGTTGGGCCAAGGACTTTGATTCGGCTGTCATGCAGCAAATGATTGGGTGTTCGAGATTTCTGCTGATTGTGGCAGGACATGGTTGCCATGGAAGACAGCATCAAGCTGATGCAACGTGGCAAAACAAGTTGTTGAAGGGCTGAAGCGAGTTGCTGCAGATCTTGTCGGAGATGCACAGGATTTACCCATGCATCCTGTTTATTTGCCGTCTACACTACACTACACCCTGAGCTTGTGACGGCACATGGTGCACGAACGTCTTGTATGCAGCTTTTACGTTTTTGCTTGTTCTTCAGTGTAGTGTGTCCTGAGAGCCATTGCGCCGACTTCCTTGTTACGATCATGTCGGTCGCCATCCCACAACTGCGCATGAGCTCTGCCAGCCGCCATGGTTCACGTTGAATGTCATTTGAGGTTGTCAAACAGGTTGCAAGACGCCGAGGACGCGTGGGTTTTAGGCTCTTGGCAAGCATGGTTCCAGAGGACCACCAGAAGAAAGTGACAGTGCGAAACAAAAGCAGGATGCATCACCACACGACTCCTGCATCCTCTCGTCTCGAAATTCGAATCGAGAGGTACCCCATCGTTTCAATCTTCTGAACGAATCTGTGTGGCAGGACTGCCTAGACTCGGCTTCTGCAGACGTATCACAGCGTGATTTTCTTTTCGACGCGGGAGATCATGATATGCGAGGCTCCTTGTGAAGGTTTTTCCAACAGGAGCCATAGGTGGCCTGCGTGCATACCTGAGACCTCGAATTGGTGTGAAGCACACTTCAGGCTGTTGTTACTTGTTCGCTCGCCCGTCGCACAGGCTGCTTCACTTTTGTAAGTGCTCTGATGAGCTTGCTCAACGGCCTCGCATCGCTCGAGAGACTGGGCAGCGATTTTGTGCATTCTTGTCCGAACGTTTGTGATTCAGTGCCAAGTCATGCCAGCAACAGTGCAAGGAACAACCAGCTTGACATTGTCCTCCAACGCGTGTTCAGCGCCGACGAGGTCAGGCATTAGTTTCCGTGTCAAGCGTGCTCATCTTCCGTACACATGCACAGGCGTATTTCATGTTCCACTTTTCGGAAGTGCAGTTAGACCCTAGAGATTCTACGACAGTTCCCAGGAGCTCACCAAAGATGAAGATTGGCCAGGGAAGACAGTGCTACGAGGCACGGCATGACCCGGCATCACAACGTCTGATATGCCACGACTTCCCAAGCCAAGAGATCAGCTTGTTTTGACGGGTGTGGGCAGGGGAGGTCTCTGCTGGTTACTCACCTTTCAGACCTTTGAGCAACGGTCGAGCCTCTGGACGAGGCCTTTGCAATCTCGTGGCCGGCGTCGTCCAGATTATGCAAGGAATGCCTTCCCGTGGGGAACCTTGGCTCGAATTTGTCTGCAGGGCCTGGGCGTCCTCGCCTCGCGGTCGGAGAATTCACGAAACTGCAGCGTGAGAGAGTGACCGGAGTGGGCAAGGTGTGGCACGTGCTTCGATCATGGCTTTGGCTGCGGAATCTAGAGGTGGAGGCAGGGTCTTCTTCGCGAATTTAGTTAGTGCCACGCCCTGCTCTTCAGTCCACGGCTCTCACAGCCGGCTGGTCAGGCACTGAATTACGAGGGCCACGAGCGCTGCTGCGTTCGGTCCACGGCACTTCTGGCCCTTGGGGTGTTCAACCTGCACCTCGGCTGACTCGCTTTAACTATGAAAAATATAGCAGAACAGTGGAATCTCCCCCAGGTGACGGAACTCGGCAGCATCTGAAGCCGAATGCATCTCGACTATCCGCTACGAAAACCTTTTTGTTGAGCAGCTTCAGGTTCGTGTCTATGCTGCCTCCAACTGCAATGAAGGCTGCTGGCTGGGCCACTGGCCGCTCGGATGAGACTACTGGCTTGTAGGCTGTGTGCCGGAGCTACGGAATACTGCAGAGACATGGTGCCGATGGGTCTGACGAATATTCACCGTACCATGTTATTGGACTCGCAGAGTCGCCTTCTCCGGGGGTTGTTTGCGCTTGTGCAACGTTGTGCAACGTTGTGCAACGTTGTGCAACGTTGTGCAACCCAAGACCTTGTAAAGAACCCCCAGAAAGAACACCCAGAGAAGGCTGCCCTCGGAGAACAAGCTACTCATACTCATCAAAAGTGGATTTTGCAAGGGTGCCACGAGCTTTTTTCGGAGAATCAGGTCCAGCCTGGATTGGCCTGGATGTCCTCAGACCGTCTTGCAGCCCCCAAACCGGAAATCGACGCGTCACCATCTAAGGGTTCGCTGGTGGCCGGGACGTTGCTCTGGCCCAGCTGCAGTCGTGTTGGGAAGAAGGTGGCATCCAGGCACATTGGGAAGGTTTCTTCGAGTACTCATGAACGGGCTAAAGAGCTTGTGTGTGTGTGTGTGTCTGTGTGCTCGTGTGTGTCTGTGTCCTACGCGAGCCCCTTCGGAGCAGCCGAACTCGGAATCTGTTAAACTCGGTTGCTGAATCAGAGCCTGTCACCCGCTGCTAGAGAAGAGGAGTGTCGGGACTCGCGCTATATCTGTGCCTATGCCTATGCACCTTCACAGATTGCCTTTGACAGTCTCACGCTGCTACCTTGCCATTCCCTGCTCGGCTACAACGCACGCCATGCTAGGCCAGGCAAGACGGATATGTTGTCGAACGCAGTTTGGCTGACAGGCGCCGTTTGCTGGCCTGGTGCTGATCGGCTTCTCTGTCGATGCGGCCCTGATCCAATTAGGAGGATCAAGCTCTTGCTGCTTCCACTCGTACATACTTGTATGTTCGGGGTTTCTGCAGGGATTATTGCTCTGTCACTCCCTGGTCAGATGTACTGTTACCCGCTTCACTATCATCGCTTTGAGCGGTTCCAACGAATCAGGCAGAGGCCTCCCTCAGCCATGTCCTACCCAGCGCCCAAGAGCAAAGGTCTCTTCCTTCCTCGGGGAGCTCCGCGTTGAGCGCAACAAGCGGCACACGTCGGCGCGCTCTATCCTCGACTGGGCGCCATCTGCCCAGAGAGGTTGCAGAGGTGTTTGAGGAGTGGGTGGGACAGTAGAAGTTGTGGACTGCTTTTTTGTTTGAACGGATTGGCTTGAGATGTACAAGGACAGGGAAGAGACAGCAAGAGTTTCTTTTTCTGGTTGCCACAAGGAAGACGAACTACCCCAGCGCTTTCTTCTTCAAGGGCCTGGAGAGTGGCTACCTTGCAGCTAATCAAGATCTAGAAGGTCAGAGCTGCACCCAAGTGAACTTTTCCCACTTTGTGCCTGCTTTCTGGCAGTGATGGCCTCCTCAACTGCTGGAGGAATAGTTTGTTATCTGCTGCATTTCCGGGCTCGGATTTGTTGGAATGGATAGCTGGAACCATGGTGTTGCAGCCTAGATCATGTCGCCGCTATTCACACCTCAACAGGAAAGTCAAGCTGCAAATCATGCAAGAGGCTGCGGCATGAGAGCGAGATGCTGCGAACCCTTTGGACGATAGTCGGACGTCGGGTACCATGTCAGGCTTTCGACATGCGAGTGAGTGGGGCTAAGCTTTGGCATCCGCAGCCATCAATCTAGCCCTGAGCTCTCCGACAGAGCCTAACACAGAAAAGTTCAGAAAATTCGGTGCCCACCCTGTGAGGGTTTTTTCCTCGTATCTCGGCCATGGAACCTGACAACGTTGTGCCGGAGCCGCCTCCCCTCTGCCGGAGCGCCTCTGTGCCCTCAGGCGCGAACGGAGGTTTGAGTGGAAGCTTCAGCCCAGGCCGATACCGAATCCAATCGAAAGCAGAGCGCATGACAAGGATTTGTTGTGCCCCTTTGTCTGCCAAGTCTTTGGCCGCCTTGGTCTTGAAGGAAATGTCGTCTTTGACGGGAAGGGCATCGATTTCTTGAGCCGCTCGCACACCGTGCAGACTCGTGGCGGCAATACGTTTGGACGTCTCCTTTCACCAGTTTGCAGCCAGCCCTTCTTGGACATTGCCGGTATTCCGCTGCTGGTCGGGGGTGCATCTTTTCGAGACTTTCCCATCAATTTCATGGCACAGGTCGGGACTAAGCTGCCCTGCTCGACTTCCGAGGTTCACCAGCGTGGACAAGCTGTAGCTTGGATGCCTCAAAAGAATCCAAAAAAATCAACCAAAAATCAATTTGGGTTGTGTAAGATTGTTTAAAGGCTTGATGACCATGCGCAGTGGTTCTCTGAGGATGGGAAAGTCACCTGTCGCCTCCAAAGGTGTCCCTTGGTCTGCCATCGCCAGTGTTCTCGTTGTCAATACTGAAAAAAAAAAACTGATGTGCATACGTTTGCCGAAAGCCGTGCAGTGCTGAGCTAGGTCTTGCTGCGTACCTCTTCAGGGTATGAAGTGGCCCTGGCGACTCGCTCGCACAGCAAAGAATGGTGACCGTGCATTCAGTGGATCCACGCCTTGCCACGAGGTCCCGCCCGAGCATCTGCGAGAGCTACAATGCACCTCAGCCTGAAGCCAGGAACGCTGGAATCTGCACTGGCCGGCAGGTGTCACCCTACCTGAGATTCGAGCAGAGCTGCTCTTGGCGGCCTTGCTTGCGGGGTGGGCCCTCTTTCTTGTTTCGTCAGCTCTAAGACAAGCTGAGGCAGTGTCTGTGGCGACCTGATCCAATCAGCCGTGCACGCGCCCTGCGGACACTCATTTTGCCAGGTCGGGGTGGTCTCGGCAGCCGTTAAACTCGACACCGTTCGTCTGACTTCGGAGGTTTCGGAATATCCTACAATGACAAGCGGAGTTATCGTATGTTATCGTGGGAAGCAGGGCCAGGGGACCGGCATCTGAGAGTCGAGTCGACAGGTGCACTTGCAAGGCGAGCAGGGCTCGCAAAACGAGCTCGTCTCCCGGCTTGCAGCGGGGCGTAGCACGTCGCTAAGCGCCAAGTGTCGCGAAGCCAGCGAAGCTTTGGGAGCCAGCCGCTATAGCGGCTAGCTGTAGCAGCTGTGCATTCTTTTTTGGGAGCGCTCTCTGCTTGTGCGGAATTCGAGGAGATCCAGGCCGGGCGCCTGCGAGAGCTCACGGTCCACAGGGGCTTCTCCGTAGAAAGGGCGCGCCAGGCGGGGGCGGGAGTCCCACGCTCCGATTCTTCGGGTAACCGAGCTTTCTGCTGAGGCTTTGGCTGCGGTGGGAGAAGGCTCTCTCGATGAGGCGCGCACGCGTGCGGGGGGGTTCGGTGGGTTCGCAGTCGCAGATCTCTCATGAGCTTGGCTAGGCTGCGGAGATGTGCGAGAAGCTGAGTGGCCTCGAAGGTCGTGCGGTGCGCGTGCGGCCGGAGGCCAGATTCGAGAAGGGTCCTGCAACGTGTCGAGGTTTGAGGGCTGCCTCGCACACATGGCACAGTCCATAGCACAGTCCATGTGCAGGTGAAGCATCCCAAGTTCGAGTGGGGAGCGGCCGCTCTGATGCAAAAGGTTCCTACACGCTTTCGCCTATCGGAAGCCTGTGAGCCATTGCCATGCCATCAAGGTCTCTCACAGCAGCGTTGGCTCCCGTCTCAGTGATACTGCAGTCATACTGCTGTGTCGACATGCGACACTCTCAGTGCAGGGACCACTCGCAACTTCTCGCCGAACCCTATACCTCAGATGGGGGCCTAAGGTGTTGTCCTGAAGGACGAGGACACACAGGCTTGGGTGAGCTTTGCCGAGCAGTCGAGCTGGCACTGCCAGAGAGAGACTTCACTACAAGGGGATAGCAGTGTGACCCGTCTGTCGCTGCAACACTCTCGCAGAGTGCCTCCCGCAATATCTAGCGCTCCGTGCGGCATGCTCAGGATGAGCTGGAAATCGATCCAGAGCCTGGTCTGCAGCATGACACTGCCTGGCCTGACCAGCGCGGTTAAGTCACCACGGCACCCAGGTAGCCGACCAGATTCGACCGCAAACCCGCGTCCGAATTCGCCCGACTCCCGGCTTTGTACTTCTACGTTTGGAGTGCTGGTCGAAGCTGCTGCCATGCTCGTTCATGTTTTTGTGACGGAATGATTCTGAGCTTTTCGGGTCTATGAGCCGTGCCCTCCTAGGAGCGTCGTCCGCGTCGTCGTTCGGCCTTCTCGTGCACCTGCTGCATCACTTTTCCTCCTCGGACACTCCTCCTCCTTTGGACTTTGCCTGCCCTGTCTGTCTGGAGGGTTTGCATTGGCCCAGCCTTGGACTTGGTGTCTTGATTGGATTTCTGGTGTGGCCGGTCTTAGAGGTGCTTCTTTATCTTCGGGCCTTCGTTCTGCAGTTCGCTGCGAGTCGTCTTCAGGGACGAGCCGGCTTCACGTACCGGCTCCTTTCATGAGCCTCGGCTCGCGTGTGGCTGCCCTTGAACGTGAGGTAGCCGAGCTTCGCTCCACCGTCGCCCGCCTGGCGGCTCAACTTGAGGACTCCGAGGCCTCTTCCTTTGACCTTGTGCCTGCCAGTCCCGGCGTTCCCGGCCCTTCTGTGCGACACTCCGCCCCTGCTTCCCCTCCCCGTGTGCAGTCACCCGTGTTCACTCCCACCTCCCGTGCTGCTGCGTCAGGTTCTGCCTCGCCTGCAGGAGCCTTTGCCTCTTCGAGTTCCTCCCGCGGTGCCGCTTGCAGAGAGATCGGGCTGTTCCTCCGACGGTGCCTAAGCGGCGAACACAGGGGTGCCTCCGGAAGGGATAGGCTTCCGGGCGGGTCAAGGTTTTGGGTGGTTGCGAGAGACTACCACGGCTCTGTTTTCTCGCCTGTGCAGGTTTTTACCAGGTTTGGGGACTGCAAGCAGCTTGTGAAAGTTGGGTCCGACCTCGGGCTCAGCGTGTGTATCGGCTTGCCCGCCAGGGGCGACGTGATAGCCGTTTGTGCTGCCGCCGACCTTGCCTTGCCGGCCCAGTGGTGAGATGGCCCTTTCCGATCCGGAAGCAGACTACGACGGTGATCCCGTCACAGCTCGCGACGCCCTTGCTGCAGGCGAAGGCTTTGTTGACTCGTTCTGTTTTCCGGCCTTGCTTTCATGTGGTGCCGACGAAGGCGACGAGGCTATCACTGTTCAAGCGCTTGTGGTGAGGGAGGTGGAAGGGAAGCTTGTGTTGGCTGTGCCCGCCTCTGCGTGGCACAGGAAGGTGTCGAAGCGTACCCTCCCGAAAGGGTTTTTAACAAAGGTGGCGGCTGCAGAAGTTGCTGCCTGCTCCGCCGACGACCGAGCAGCTGCTGTCGAGGGCTTTGCTTTGCGAGTTTGGTTCGGCCTGGTGGAGCCAGCGGCCGAGAGCGCTTTGGAGGTTTCGGAGGAGCCTGCCTCCGTGAGCTTCGGGAATTTGGCAGGAGGCGGGCCCGCTTTTCCTTTCGTGCCGGCCCTTGTTGCCGCTGTGAACGACAGCTACGCTTTTGCTTCGGCCGAATCCGCGGGGCCTGGGTCCGTGGCTCCCCTGGCTGCTCGGCTCGACCGCCTGGAGCGACTCCTGTCAAATTTGCCGGCTGCACAGGTGCCCGAGGTCAAAGGTCAGGTTCGCCCGAAGGTCAAGCTTTCACCCAAGGTTGTGCCGAAAGCCGCCTCCGCACGAGGCTCTTTGGATCCTTCTGTGGCGGCTGCTGCGAAAGCCGCGGGGCCACCTTGGCCGAGTTCGAGCGCCTTCTCAGCCAGCCCGGTCGGGGACGGATGGCTCCAGAGCCTATGCTTTCGCAGGCCGCCGACCCGCTCGAGGAGTCCGAAGCAGAGGTGCTGGAGGAGGAAGATGGGGACGGCCCTGCCAACGTCGTCTCTGGGTTGCCGGGTCAAAGCTCCAAGGGCGAGGCCAGCCAGGCGGAGCTGTTTGCAGCGGCCATGTTCAAGATGATGGAAGGCTACTCTCGAGGTCAGGCGGCCAAGGGCTCAGCCTTGGAACGTGCCTTGGACGGCGTCGGAGGTGGTACGGGCGAGGTCGCGGGCCTGCCTTCTGGGAGGAACGCCTCGGCTCGACGAGCACTTCGGCAGGCACTCATTACCTCCCCTGCCGACATATCTTCGGTGATAGAGCAGCTGATGCAAGAGGACATGGCCTCCTCCGCGCCCGGGGTGGGCATGGTCCAGCAGACCAGTGCCAGGGCTTGGCTGGAGCATCGGTCCCGAGCCGGGCCGTTTCCCACGGCGATGAATTTGGCATGGTGCGCAGCCGGTGCATTGGATGCGCTGAAGGCAGGCCTCGTGGAGCAAGCTCGTGCGAGGCTCAATGTCATGCTGATGGTCATCGACCAGATGTCGGTCGACAAGGGGTCGTGGACCCTAGCCTCCGAACTCACCCTAGAACTCCCTCCCCCAATACAAGCCTTTCGTCTCAGGGAGCAGTCCAGCAGCAGCTCCTCCAGCCTGGCGTACTCAAGGTTGCTGGATTCAAGGTGGGCAGAGGTATCCCTGACTCATCTCAGGGAGCAGATGGATTTCTCAGAACGCCGGCACAAGCTTCAGAAAGGGCAGGCTGCCAACACCAATCAAGAGAGTCCGGCCGAGACCGCCGACGGAGCTGCAGCCACCCCGGACCGGCACCCGAGGAAGCCCCCGAAGCAGTGACCCGAAAAGCCCGCATGCCGCGACCCCGGCCCGAAGAGCCCGGACTTTGTGCACGAGGCCCCTCCCGTGTACCAGGGATCGCGCTCCTTCGTTTTCCGTGCCTGGGCTGCTGAACTCCCTGCCTCGCCTGCTGCTTTCAAAGGCCGGCCTTTTTGCTCGTTTTCTCCGCAACATGCTCGATGAGGGGCTGCAACCTGCCTCTACGCCCTCGGTGTGGCCTTGCCCTTTGCCTTACCCTGAGGTTTTCCGCCGTCCGTGCGGGCACGACAGTTGGTGGAAGCTCATCCTGCTGAACCTTTGTGTCGCCGCCCTGTCCTGGTTGTACCTCGGCAAGCCGGTGTCGTGCCCCCGCGAAATCAGGGCCGGGGCAAAGCTCAACAGGCGCCAAGCTGAAACGGTGAAGCGCCTGCGGGCCGCTCTCTTTGGCGATTTTTTCCCTTTGAAGTTTTCGGCCGGCGATCTTGGCCGGCACGCTGCCAAGGTCGAAGGTCACTGTGAGGTGCTGGGTGCCCTTGCGAGAGCCGCTTCGTCTTTGGCCTCAGCTTTCGGCGGGTACCTAGGCCCCACTTCTCTCGCGTCTTCTTTTGCTGCACAGCCCGCCGTGGCCGTTGGAACTTTGCCGGGCCCTCCTGCCACCAATGCTCGGCCAATCCAGGCTTCGAGGATTAAGCTGCCGGGGCCCCCTAAGTTTAGGCCTGAGCCCTTCTTGGACCCTAACACTAGGCACCTCTACGAAAAACCCTTGCTGCACGCCCGGGCCGCTTTGCCTGGCGAGTGTCCGGATTCTTGCTAAAGCTGAGGAGCGGCTGCTGCTCTACCGTGCCCTGGCTGACTCCGAGCGCCTTGTGGTCGCAACTCACCCGGCTGGGCGAGAACCCTTCGGTGCAGGCTTGTTCTGTGTGCCGAAGTCGGCCGAGAAGGACAGGTTGATACTTGATGCCCGGCCGGCGAATTGCCTCGAAAAAGGCTGCTCCAGGTGGACCCGAACCCTAGCCTCGGCCTGTGCGGGCACCGCCGGGCCGGATCAGGCGAAACCTGCTCAACGACTCGCTCTCCCACGAGGAGGCTGCCTTTGTGTTTCGGGTCCCCGTCTCGACTTTCAGTGCCGGGCCCGCCCGTGTTCACGTTGCCTTCTCCAGCCTGGCTATGGGCGACTCGTCGGCATGCGAATTCGCCCAATGTGCCCACTTGGGCGTGTGCCTCCGCGGCCGTGCAGTTCATCCTGGAGAGCTGTTGGTGCATGCTGTGGCCCCGCCCAGGGGCTTGCTGAGCGTCGGGCTGGTCATCGATGACCTCATTTTCCTTGAGAGGGCCCTCGCCACCGGCTTGCCCGAGATCAGAGCCAAAAGGACCAAATCGATTGGCCGCGCCAGGCTCGAAGCGGCCCTCGAGGCCTACCGAAAAGCCCCGCTTACCGTCAGTGAGGATAAGGCTTTCTCTGATGCCACCAAGGGCTCTTTCTGGGGGGTGACGGTGCATGGCGAGAGCGGCTGGGTGAGACCGAATCCCGAGAGGCTCTGGCCCCTGGTGCTGATCACGAGCCGTGTGCTGCAGCTTGGCCTGTGCACTGCCCAGCTCCTTGAAAGCTTGGTTGGGTCCTGGCTGTCGGTGTTCCTCCTCCGAAGGCGGCTGCTGGCTAGCATGGTGCATGTTTTCGCCGCCGTGCGAGGTTTGAAGCCGAACGATATCATTCGGCTCTCCCCCGAGCTGGCTGCCGAGATCGCGTCTTTCATGCTGCTCGGGCCCCTTGCCTGTGTTTGCCTGCGTGCGCCTGTGGACCCCAGTGTGACTGCCACCGACGCCTCCTCTACTTGGCAGGCTGCTGTGCGAGCGCCCGTGCCTGTTGAGGCTGTGACCGAAGGCGTCCGGCAAAGCATCCAGAGAGGAGCCTGGACTAGGCTCTTGAGCGGCACCGCCGCCTGGCTTCGAGAAAAAGATCTTCTTGAGCCCGAGCTCGAGTTACCAGACGGCGCCAGGTTCCTTGCTCCTCCTCTGTACTTGGGCCTCGCCGTTTACCCTGCCTACTCAGAGCTCTGGCGTCGGGAGTACCGCTCGAGGGTGCACATCAACATCGCCGAGCTCGAGGCTTACTTGCGCGAGGAAGCCCGAGCGGGGTCAAGGAAGCCCTGCCACAGGTTCGTCTTCGGCCTGGACAGCCAGGTCGCCCTCGGAGCCGTCGCGAAGGGAAGGTCATCTTCGCCGCCCCTTAATGACCTGCTTTCTCGGAGCATCGCTGCCTATGTCGGTTTTCACATCATCCCACACTTGGTGTTTTTCCCGACTTCGGTCAACCCTGCAGATGCTCCGACTCGACACCAGGCCGTCGCTGAGCCTACTTTGCCTGTGCCCCAGTGGTGGTCTGAACTGTGTGCGGGCCGCACCGCCGACCTCGACAAGCTTACTCGTGACCTTGGTTTCTCCGTTGACGGCGACGGCTTTGCCCAGGAGGAGCTCTTTGTGCTAGGAGGCTGCCCCAATCCTCTTCTTCAAAGCGGCGGTTCCCTGAAGTGTGCTGCCTCTTTGGGGCCAGCCCGACGTCTCAAGCAGACCCTCGCACCTACTTGCACCCCTTCGGCCAGACCCCCCGTGTCGTCGCCCCTCGGCGCTGCCACCCGTGCCTGCCTCAGCAACTTCCCCTGCCGTCAGTTCGTGTGCAAAGGCGGGCTCCCCGACTTTTCCCAGCCTGGAGCTCTGGACTTGTTCTGCGCAGCTGGGGGTGTCGCTCGGGCCCTCCTTCGGCATGGCTGCCCCTGGGTGTTGACTTTTGACTTGCACCGGGCTGCAAGCGAGGATTTGACCGACCCTGCTCTGCAAAGGTGCCTCCTCTCTTTGGTCAAGGATGGAGCGTTCCTCGTTGTCGGTGCTTCCCCTCCGTGCTCTTCTTTCAGCCGCGCGACTGCCGCGCCCGCGCGCTCTGCTGCACAGCCTGAGGGTCTCGACCACCTTGCCCCGATCTTGTTTGCCAAGGTCGCCCGCGACAACCGTTGGAGTGTTTGGTTGCTCCAGCTTAAAGCTGCCGCCGCGGAAGCCGGTGCCCGGTACTGGTTTGAGAACCCTGACCTTTCTTTCCTGTGGCGTATGCCTGGCTGGGAAACCGTCTCCGACCCGCGGTCTCCACTGTCTTTCCGCCTTGACCTTTGCAGGTGCGGCTGCCCCTGGCGCAAGAGAACCAGGATAGCAACGAATACCTCGTTGGCTGGTGCGCGGCTCCTGTGCCCCGCGGCCGGCCACCACAGACTTCGCGGCTACTCGAAGGCCCACCGCAAGCCTTGGAATTTGGTGGCTCAGCACTTTCCACGTGGACTTTGTGAGCTGTTGGCTTTGTCCTTGTGCGCCGGTGCCGGTTGGACTGAGGACCGCGCGCTTGACCCCTCTGCCTGTGCCAAGCTTCCGTCGCACTGTCGCATCGGCGAAGCCTCTCACCCCGGTCCGAGGCAGCCATCTCGGCGTCCTCCCGTGCCCGGTGGCCTTTCCGGGGCCCCTTTGCACTCTGCCACGTCCTCCCGGCTCGGGTTTCTTGCCTGGGCCGCTTTCCTCAAGTGGGTGCACGGCCACGTCCTTTCCTCCGACCCTGTGTCGTCGTTCGTCGCTTGCCCCCCGCTTTTAGCCATGGCCCTCCGCGCTTATGGTGATTTTCTGTATCAAACTGGAGGCTCGCTGCAGAACTTCAGGTACACTGTGGTCGCGGCACAACGCCTTACTTGGGGAATGAAGGGCCAGCTTGGGCCCGCCTGGGAGATGGTGTCAAGATGGGAGCGACTGCAGCCGGTTGTACACCGTACACCGGTACCTGAGATCCTGGTGCGAGCGATGGTTTCTCTGGCTTGGGGAATGAACCTCAGGAGATGGGCCTCGGTGACCCTGCTCGCTTTTTACGGCCTGGCTAGGATTGGCGAGGTGATCAAGACGAGGCGGCGGTCCTTGCTTCTGCCCAGCGACCACATGGGTGGCTTTTGTGCTATCTTCGTGAAGCTGGAAAGGCCCAAGACCGCTGGGAGAGGCGGGCCTCGTACTCAGCACTTACGGGTCGATTTTTCGACAGCTGTCGAGCTGGTTTGCTGCGCGGTTGCTGGTTTGGATTGGGATGACCCTGTTTATCCTTTCGGCCCCGCCGCTTACAGACGCCGATGGGACTTGTTGCTGGGTTTACTGGGCTTGGACCGCTGCGAGCTGACACCTGGCGGTTTGCGTGGTGGCGGTGCCGTTTGGGCCTACCATCACGGCACCGCCATTGCTGATATCCAGTGGCGTATGCGTTTAAAACACCAGCATACCTTGGTTCACTACCTTCAGGAAGTGGCCGCCCTCAACGCGCTTCTTGATGCTGGTGCCGACTCCCGCGTACGACTTCGGCAAGTAGCGGAGCTTTTTCCGTTTGTGGTGCTTAGCTGTGCTTAGCTTTGACGCGCCCTACCTCGCTGCCACCGAGCTTCGGCAACAAGGCCGCGGACACGCCGCGCCTTCGGACACGGTCGGTTCTTTCACTACAGTGGATACATGGGCTGCACTTTTTCGGAGCTACGAAGCTGGGCTGTGGCTGCTACCACCCTTGCCTCAGCTCGCTCCGGCTTTTCTGTGCATCCCAAGCTGAGCTGTGTGAGCTTATGGAACGGGCAGCGGGAAAAAGAACGACCAGTTCGCTTAGCAGGGATTGGAGGAGCCACAAACATGTTCATGAATGGCGGCCTGGATGGGTGACTTCTGGGCATTGAAGGGTGTAGTGGTGCAGGGCCTGTCCAGACTGCATGTTCCAGGTGCCGGCGTGACTCCGAAGCGCGGCTGGGGGCTCCTCCAGGCATGAGAGATCCAGTTTGGAATTTGTCCGGATTCGAGTCTTGGTGGATTGTAGTTCCTGGGAATCATGAGATCGGATAGCTGAGCCAGTCATGCGATCAGCATCCGGATACTGCATCAATCAGACGGCTACGCTGGAATGAGGCAGGAACGAAGGGAGGTGGGTGAGTGGGTAGGAAGTTGGGTAGGTTGCAGAGGTCTTAATTCCCATATTCTGCTAGACAGGTCGACGGGACCGGCACCGTCGTCACGCTTACTGGCTGCCAGGCATTCGAAGAATTCTCTGTTCGCACATGTTTGCATGGTGCCCGATCAGTGGAATCAAACAGAAGCGGACCCACAGAGGCTTTCGATTCCGAGCGACATGACCACAATTCCTCTAGGCTTATCCCAAATGTGGCCCGGCCGCCACAGGTGCGAGTCCTGATAAAGGAAGGCCGTGCGGGGACACTGCCTGCTGCAGACTGGACAAACATGCATAAGACCTTGGTGAAAGTTGCTAAAGTCGGTATCTTACTTGAGACACCTTTGTAAGTGTGTACACGACCTGATGCAAGAGATGGTTTGTTGCATTGCCAGTTTCGATGTGACCGATGGAAACTTGGCGTCGAACGTCCGTAGACTTTCGAATGCGCCTAGCTCACTCCACTGTCTCAAGCCCGTGGGAGGTGCATGGAGCGGTTTCATCAACGAACTCGAGGCACATGATGGTTGGGAGAAGGATAATTTTGGGAAGCTTCAGTGCCGGAAAATGTCGTTCACAGGTCGTCGACGAGACCCGCGACATGATCGAAGATGCGGCCCAGAGACTCAAGGTTCCGTTCCAGAAAGAAAGCAACTTTCGAAGGCGCAGATTTCCTGCGCTTGAATTCTGCGACCTGAACTCAGGATGGCAAAGCCACCGAAGACGTGCTGGCCCAGCTCTGGCCTTGGCACAGAGACGGGAGCATGTCATGCTGTCTTGCAACAGCAGCCTCCGAGGTTGCACGCTATCCTTCAGGAGGTGAGGTACTGTCGGCAGCCCACAGCGCTTGCTTTTCATGGGGGGGTGGTCGTAGAAAGCAGTGGTGGCAGTCGCTTCTCAGGCTCAGAGCCTTCCGAGCTGCAGATCGTCTTGACCAGCAGAGACCGGACCCAAGCCTCCACGGCTTCACGGCTTCCGGGTCCCGTCAGCTCCAACCCTGAGGAATGCGGACCTTTCATCAACAGCTTCGGCGCCTTTGCGATGCTCCGGGGTGTTGGCCTTCAGTGTGTCCGTGGCTAGGCCTGCAAGTCCTCGGAGGAGGTTCAGGTTCCGACTTCGGAGTAGTGACTTCAATAGCTTGGAGCGTCGAACATAGAACTCCGAAGCGACTTGAGCCAGAGCCTCTCGTTGTCAGGCCATGCAGCAGACCGGACTGTCCACGTCTTTGGTGCTGCGCCAGGGGTTGCTTCGGCTCTGACCAGACAAGAGGGGGCTAAGGAAGTAGCGTGTTTACACTCGTGGCTGTCGAAGGGATGCCACGATTGTGGATGACTTTTCGGCCCATGTGCTTTCGGCAGACCATGAGAGGGAATGCAGGAACCGCTCGTGGTTGACAGAGCCTTCACGCAGCCGAGGTTGCCGACCTCGGAGAGCGCGCGGCGAGCGCGCTGCGGTACCTTGGCACATCATTTTTCTTTTTGTTGCTTGGTAGGCTTCGCTCGTTGTTGAAGTGCCAGAGCAGCTGGAGCCAGGTACCTGGAGCAGCTGTTCGAGACGCAGCTCGGAGGGCAGTGAAAACACCGCTGAGAATTGAGCCCCGAAGCCCCGAAGAGCAACACGACTCTGGTTGTGAAGAAACTCGATCGCTTCCGGGGGGAAGGGTGGTGGCATTCAGATTCACGGGGACGGCGATGGAGGGCATCAGGCAGGACGATCCGTAAATTATTTATCACTAAAGTCTTCCAGTTTCAACCAACTGCCACAGGGAGCGTGCAGAGTTTGTCAGTCAGGTTATGTTGTCAAGTTGTTTGCCTCTCTTCGTAAGACGTCCCGAATGCGTCATGAAGCCTTCTGCTTGAGGCTTCCTGCGCCGAAGGCTCGAGTTTCAGTCAGTCTTTGGTGCATGTACCGCTCCGGCTTGGACGCCGTATTCATTTCCCTGCCCCCGCATCCACAAGTGAGTCACGGCTAAGGGAACAGAAGCGCCGTGGGCGTGTTTAGGGCGAACCATTCCTCCACTCTCAAAATCGTCTTCACTCAATTTTGCCGGAGGTCCCGCAGCAGAAGCCCAGATTTCGAGTGCCTCGGTCAGAAGTGTGTTTTTTTAGTACTAGGAAGTAGTTGAAGCTGCACTTGCCCTGTCTGCTTCCATGGTCTGTGCAATTTCGTGGCTTGGGATAGGGGTGGTAGCGATTCTTGTCTTTATATTTCTCAGTTGGGCATTACTCATTTGCATGCGACAATAAAGGGCCAACCAGCTTCCTCCAGGTAGTCCTGCATGTCGACGCAGACATCTTCGCTGCGGGTGTACCAGTGCCTTGCGGCACACAAAGCTTCCTTTTGTTTAAAGCGGCGAGTGGGAACTGACAAAAAAACCGTGGAGCATGCCGATGACTCACCAGCTTGACGCTTGACGTTTGAGATCTGCGTTGGGGTGTCTTCATCAGGTGCAGATGGTCTACCAGGACCCGGCTCATCCCGGCTCGACCTTGGCACCCCTGGGCTTGTGGGCTTCAGTTGACCTGGGCGTTTAGGGTGTCCTGAGAAGGCTCAAGTACCGAGCTGCAGTCACGTGTGTGCACAGCCTCCGAGCCCGAATCTGAACTCCACCCGAGCGCCGATGTAACCTTGGAGCAGGAGCAACTTCGGTCGCTCATTATTCCAGCTCCTTGTCTGCAAGATGCTTCTTTGCATCAAGGGTGGGCCTTGTGAAGAGTCTTCAGGCTTTCCTGATACAGCGGTGATGCCCACATACTCAAACCCACGCAGATGAACGCCCAAACCAAAAACCAACAGCGCCCGGCTTTCCAAGCGACGAATTCCGATGCCCCAGAACTGGACCTGGAGGGAGGTCTGTAGAGAATTTAGGTTGGAGGTTTTTCTCAGAGTTCTCAGACGAGGAAAACCTCGGAAAACGTAGTGACAGAAGCCTTGCAGGCCATCGCCCCACAGGGCGAGGGCTGGTCCTGGCCGCAGCGAGGTGAGAGGGTTTAGGGCAGGTTAGGGCCGTTTTATGGGTTTAGGGCTGGGTTTCGGCCTCACAGCTTTAAGGACGGAAGACTCTCCCGCGAACAGGCTGGGCTGGTGAAGAACAAATGGTGCAGCACCTCCAAGCGTCCCTGCCCGCAGGCCAGGGCCGGGCATAAGCATTCACTGCAGAAGTTGCGAGAGACATCTTGGAAGCTCGCAGAGATTGCAACCGACTCTGTGAGGTAAGGCCGAGCTTTGCCGCGAACAGGAGTTCGAGGAGGCTTCGAAGGTCTCGAAGAGGCCCTTTGCCAGGGCTTGGCACGTCTTGGCACATGTTTGACTTGAAAGTAGGCGTTGTGTTGAGAGACGTAGTTTCAGTGGTGGTGCACGTGGTTCGGAAACATCCCGTTAGCCGAGGTTAGAGGAGTCCGGCCTCGTCGCCACCGTGGAAGAAGGCAGAGTTGCACAGAGAGTTGTTCATCGTTTGCACATCGGCAGTCCGCATCTACTTCCACATGCCGTGCAGGTTCGAGCAACCCTCTGAAGGACGCCAGCATGGAGGCGAGATGGTGTGTTCTCGTGAGCTCTGCAGATCATCTCCTTGCCAGAGGTACCAACAAGCTGGACCGGTAGCCTAGCCCGGGGGAGCCGTGTTCGGTTCCGAGATACTGCGAGGCACATGCCGTGCTTCGTGTGCCACGGGCCGGACACATGATTGCCAGTGCTTGGTCCTTAAGCCTGAACATGCCGGCTTGCCGGGTGCCTTTCAGCCGGTCGCTACCCAACGCTCAAGGATTCCCGGGATGCGTAAGCCAAGCCCTATGCAGGTCGGTCTTGCCGAGCACCATAGATCCCTCCTGCATAGGCCACGGGCGAGGGTTCTGAGCAAGGGAGAGTCAACTGACGTGTCTGCTTTTTTTCGGGGGGGTGGACGGTGGGGCGGTGTGCAGCTGAAACCTGGTCTATTTGCCAGCTGAAGCTGTGTATTGTAATACAAACCCACAACCTGGGCGGCAAAAAAAATATTGGTTTAGGTTCTAGGGGGCCGCAGGAGGGGAATCAAATAATTTGAATCCGGAGGCCTCCCCCATATTATTTAAGTCGCGGCCCGACTTGGACAATTCAAGTAACCTAAATAGCTTAAATAATTTACATGATTTAAATCCCGGGGAGGGGGTGGGAACGATCTCCCAGGGATTTAAATTGTTTAAATTATTTAAATCATTTTTGTACGTACAGCTTGCGTGCGTTAGGTTCTGTAGGACTAGCTGCGCTGTTCGCCGTAGTTAGGGCTCAAGGTAGGGCTGTATAGTGTACAGAGCGCAAGCGCTTCCCGGGGGCAACCATGAGGGGTTTCCT